GCGGCAAAGGCCCTGTTGGTGGCCTCATCCACAAGCAGCTCTTTCCAGCATCACTTAGGCACACTCTGTCCTTTTGTCCCTCCCGACCCCTGAGATCTGTGGCTTCGGGGTTTGAGGAGACCCCCTTAACTCCTCTCTGCTCCTCAGTCCTTCCCCGAAACCCCGGGCTGCGGCTGCGCTGCCACCTGGGTGACTCTGCTCCTGGAGGAGGCGCAGCCTGTCCCTCCGATTCCTCGTGTGCTCGGCAGCCGTTCTTGGGGTTATTGGTCACTGCCCAGGCCACAGAGAACTTTTTCAGTTTCTGAGATCATGGAGCTCTGTTTCTACCTCCCCGACTCTCCTTGGATTCCAGTTGTCATCAGAAATGACCAGGACAGACAGCTACTGAGGCTGTCGGGGTGAGCAGGAAGGCTCACACCACATTTACCCATGAAGGCCCCCCCCAGTCTGGACAGAGAACACCCCACACAGCTATCGCCCCGACGCAGAGTATTTATGCAAATGGCTCCAATTCCAGCTCAGCAACTGTTTCCAACAACTTCAGAAAAATTTTTTTAAAAATTACCAAGGAAGCAACAGACACAAATCACATGGCACAGTCTTACCTGGGAGCTTTGTAACCAGAAATGCACGCTTCGGGACTGCCACCTGCCCTGGACGCCGTGGCCCTGGGTCCTTCCACAGCAGGGAGCTCCAGGCCGTCAGACAAGGCGTTTATCTTCAGCAGAAGTTCATCTAACAGACTGGAGAATTCATCCAGGTGGTGACTCTGAGAAGAACAAAAAATGGATCGGGAAATGTATTCTAGGATGTTTGTTTTCTTTATTCCTCATTATCTGCAGCCCTGAAGGCCAACGGACGTTAGAAGGACCACACCATGTTAGAACATGTGCCGGGCTCGGGCCTGGCCTCACGCTTCCTGTCTCCGCGGCCCGTTCCTTGCTCATCAACCGCCCGCACTGGTGCCTGCACATCGCTGTGGGTAGCAACGCCACATCAAGGGCGGCTGAACGGATGCAGCAGCAGGAGTGGGGCAGGAATTCCACACAAGCAGCCTCAGAGCCCTGTACAAATGGCCAAGGCCACGCGTGCACGCGACAGGCTTCGCAGCTGCACGGGGAGGTGGGTAAACATCGGCTGTGGACATGAGTGCGACCGAACTCACACAAAGGGCACCACGCTTTGGGTAGAAGTTTGGGTCTTCTTTGGTACCAAAGGAAGAGACTAAGTCTACAGATGATAGTGTGTGTGTGTGTGTGTGTGTGTGTGCGTGCATGCACGCATCCAGGGAAGGTCAGAAATTCTACCTTCTCAGCCGCACAAAGCCAACACAACGATGTAGCGACTGAGCGGAGCAGACTCGCTTGGTAAGCTAAAGCGCGTTGGAATTCCAAGGGAAGGTCCCTGAGCTCCACTCCGGTTGTGAACCAAGCCCGGCTGTTGCCATGGCACTTGGCACGGAATCACAGCCACCCTGCGATCCACCACAGAAAGCACAACTCCGCAGGGACAGCATCCCCCCGGGACCTGCTGCACCCAGGACCGCACCGCCCACGGCTCACGTGGTCCATGGGCGCCTCCGCCTCCTCCAGCTCGGGCTCTTCCAGCCCCAGGAAGGCGAGCATCTTCCGCCACGCGAATGTGGCGACCACTTCAAGTTTCACCGGCGATTTGCCATGACAAGGTTCTCTTTTTTGGAAACAAGTCAGGAGGGAAACTCTCAGCTGGCGAAGACAGAAAAATACGCAAATTCTGCATCAGAATTGGTTCTGTTAGTTTGATAAAGTAGAAAATGGAGCCTCAGAATTGCAAAAGTGAAATGTTTTTAGGCAGGACACCAAACTCACAATCCTCACACATACGAAAAAAATGGCTTTTACCAAAATTAACAACTATTGCTGTATATAGACACTGTTAAGAAAATGAAAAGATAAGCTACAGCTTGGGAGAAAACATTTTCACATCACATAGTAATAAAGGGATTGTGGTTAAAAATATAAAAAATTTCTATCATGATTTATACACATGTCTCCTCCTAAGGGCTGTGAGCATCTAGAAGCAGGAATCAGATGTTATCACCTTTGTTTCACCGTTACCTGACTATGAAAACCATTCTTTACATAAATGTTGAATGAGTGTGTGAACAAATGGGTAGATGGATGGACAGATGGGGGGAGAGGTAATGATAGCTTCGTGGGGCCAAGGGTGGATGGGTT